CCTTAGGCCCATTTGCGTCGCACTGGTTGGATTGTACCGTATAAATAACAACACTTTCTCGTCTAAAACCTTATTATGTTGGAAATAAAGTTCTGAATTGAACAAATGTTGTTAAGCGGCGTTGATCATTCGTCATATATGGGGTATTTCAGACCCTTAACCCTACGGCTCCTGTGGGAGACGAGAGATTGCTCGTATTGTAAATGTCGTGATTTGCTACTGTTATTTATGGTCAATTATTTGGAGGGTTATTTTTTAAATTAATGTAATTTTGCTACAACGATTTTAGTTTGTATTGTATAGTTCGCGTGCGTGGCAACTACTAGCAACCCCTCCCCCCTTGGGGAGGCTTATGTTCAGCAGTAGACAGTTAATATATTAATGATGATGATTGTATAGTTTCGTATTTATACTACTATATTAATATTTGAAATTTAATATTGTAATTTTAATTTCATTCTCTGAAATAGTGATGAAACATTTATAACCATATAGGTATATAAATAATATAAATATATTAAGATCTAAAAAAATATTAATTTATAAGTTACTTTTGCACATATTTTAACTATGATGAAAATATAAGTAAGGTAAAGTAATAAGTATGTATATGTATAGTAATAAATAGTATATTACCATTTTGCACACCATTTAAACAATGTGGCTAAATGTGTGATTCTATAACAATAATTATGATCTATTTCAACCATATTTTATTTGCAAACAAATTATTATTATGTTATATGTAATATGAAAGAATGGGCGAGAATAATTTAAAATTAAAGAGTTCTTGATGACTGATATTTAGCTAAAAAATTAAATTGAATTTCGAATTAAATAAATACTAACTTAAATACTTTACACACTTTTATCTTTTTACCTATCTATTTACCAAACAAATATCTAAATTAACTAATAAACTAAATAAATTAACGTAATACCAAGTTACTAACTTTGCAAAAATGTATGTACCTATCATTTACAACAACATTGTTCACTCATTGTTCACATTTTAGTGAATATTTAAACGTATTTGTATGTTAACACCTTAATAACTCTCTTGCAATTCCTTACCTGTATTTAGTTGTAATAAATTTTATATTTATTACTCTTCGAAAAGTCGCGAATTGCAACCTATTTTCAACTTTATTTCAATATCTATAGAAAACATTTACTATTTTATTGCCGACAAATGCAATGTCATTGTGTATATTTGTTAAGTTGGTAGTGTATATGGGAGAATCGTATTCATTAATGGCAACATTGTCATGTTGGTATGTATCCGTTTGTGTTGCCAGATTTAAAAACATAATTGTATGCTTGTTCTTGGGTTTATGGATTTTCAAATCTTGTGTCTAATATCTTGTAATTTTAAGGGGTTTTAAGATGGTCAAAGCATCAATTTTTTGCGTGTATTTTATGTCACTCGATATTTAGATTTATTTTTATGGTTCTGTATACATTTTGTCATGACTGATTGTATCATACAACCAAATCAATTTATATACAAGTACAAAAGTTTGTATTGTGTGGAGATCAAACCCACAACAATTAAAGGTGAAACTATGACTGTTTCGTATAGGGTCAGACGGGAGTAAACTCTTTCAAATAAAAAATGATGTGTCAATATTTGAACCGAAAAATAATCTTTTTTGTGTACCTATATGGTACACAATAAAGATTTTTTCGGTCGGTTCAGGAATAAAACGCGTATGACATCCAAGTTGCGATCAAAGACAATCCGCGCATCACCCGTCTCACTCCACAATAGACGCCTCTCCCTCTGCCACGGACCATTACCCTTAGAAAGGGTGGTATCGCCTGATTGATATTTGATGTCGATATATGATGTACTAATGTACCGTGAAGCAGGGTGATGATCAGTAACGGTTATGTAAGGGTCTATATCGTTTAATGATTTAAGTATTACGAATTTATTTTCCGATGTTGGATTTACGGTAGTTGTTGATATACAATAAATAGTTGCTACCACTTCCATCAGGTGAGCCGTCAGCTTGTTTGCCATTTTAAGTTGTATAAAAAAAATTTTTTTTAAATACTCTTGTGAAGGAACAAAAGAAAATGTAGATCCTGCTTCATTTCATGATTTCAGCCGTTAACTATCTACTGCTGAACATAAGCCTTTCTCGTAAGGGGAGTTTTGCCAATAGTTGCCATGCTTGGCAGGCGGGTTGGCAACCGCTGTTTTTAGAGATGTTTTAAGAGGGACGCTGCTGCCCATCCCTCTACCATTAAATTCCTTTAGTCGTCTCTTACGACACCTAAAGGAATGGAAGGGATGGCGTTTTCTGTGGGTCTATACTGGGATCACACGGTAAAGACTGCTTAATTATGAGTAATTTATTTATTTCATATTTTGTTGTAATTTATATATCTACCTACATATTATATCACATTGATATATAATAAAAAATATTGATTGTTGTAAACGATAGACAAACAGACATATCTTTATGAGTATAATTGGACTTATACTATATGTAGGACTAGAATAGTCAAATGTTATAGAAAATGCTGCTGCATATTGTTTTTTACATAATGTTTTAAATATTGTATACTAAAATAAATACTAGAATTTCTCAATAAAAATCTATATTCAAATTGTTGTACAAAATAAATAAACTCAAAGTAAGTATTAAAAATAGTAATAAGATTTTAAATTTTCCATTACGAAGTCAATATCGCGCAAAACACACTCTCAATATGTAACTCGTATTCCATTGCCGTGAAATTGTATGCGTTCAGAACATATTTATTGCTTTTACACATCAAACATGGTTATAAATTATATTTTATTTGTTGCCGATAATGCTGAGCGATAATACAATCGGCATAATAATCGATTTACCGATTTTTAAACAAAATCTATAAAATCAGAAAGTGGCGAAAGCGTGCTCTGAAGTAGTGGATGATTCTTTGGCGCATTAAAATGCTAGTAACTAGATTATATAAATGTCTATGAGTAGATGACGCGTCGAGGTTTAAGAAAGGGATAATTAGTCTTAAATAGATGAAAATAGCATGGCGATCCAAGTGTTATTGATTATTTACTCTAGTAGGGTAATAGTGAATCATTCTCAGCCATCATAACGAATTCACCAAGAATGACGATACCAAGGGATATCGCGTGGAAGTCGACCTGACTATAAATTATAATATTGCTAACAGTGGTTTCGCTAAACCCCATAACTAAGAACACTCTTCTCCATGCCCCAGGTCATAGTAAGAGTGATTGCGAATAGGTATATACATTACATTAAAGATCTGTACTAATCTTAGTAATATAATAATATTGTAAGTTTGTACCTGGTAGATATTTAAGAAAAATTATATAAATGATCGTTATAAGAGCAATAGAAGCCAAAACAAATTTATAGAAGCTTTGTCTATTTGTTCTGGTATCGTGAACTAATGGTTTATCAATTCATCTTAAAATCTGGTCTATGTTGTATCGTGATACGTCGTTTAGAAGTATTATATTATATTTCATTGGTTTTCCTATTTCTGAAATCCAAGCGTACGAAATAGCGGGCAAAAAACTAGTATTGAATATATAGGTTACGTTAAGGTGAACAGTACATAAACGATATCTTCTTGTTTATTACAGTAATTTCTCAAATGCAAAAGCATTCGGTGAATATGCTATATGAATAGATTTCGCGAGCCATTAAACACGTGACAAATCGTTGCACAAAATGGCTGCCACTTTTTGCGCGGGAAACTACGCTAGAAAAATTTTCGACATCGGATTTTCTTTCAATAGATTGTGAAATATGATGAGGGGGACGTATATGAATAGTTTTATTGGCGTATCCGTTAATCCTTTATTGTTGTTAGACTAACTGAGCGTAAAATGCGTCTAAAAATGGCAGTTACCCTAATTTTGTGTACAATACTTTATGTTTATATTAAAATTTATATATGTTTTGGTTTTTCATACCTATTGTTTCTATTAATTATAGTTTATAGGTGTCTACTGAAAGATAAGTAGAGACTACAGTAGGTACCTTATAATGATTAAGCACCTACATAAAGAAATCTAATACGGAAGTAGGTATCTAGTTAACATGCAATAATAAAAAGTATAAAAAACACATAAATCTGAATAACTTAGAGTAATGAGTATACACAAAATTTGAGATGAATTAATATTTCATACATGTTTTATATTCATATAAATTGTTTATATTATAACAATAATTTGTTGTGGTCAGGTAAGTAGGTAGTTTGTACCTGTTTTGTCTTATATAGAATATATCAAGACGTATCTATAAAAATATAAAATCTCTTTTATGTAATCACGCAGAACTTGAGACTATTCCATATTTAATAACTGTATATACGTATATGTATACTGTAAAGTTGATAGCAACAACTTTACGTAATACTCTTTCTAAAACTTTTATTATTGACTTATTTTCAAAAAATATAATATCAGCGAGAGACCAACTGAGTAAGAAATTTTTTGATTCATAGACTGTTTGAATATGTATTGTATGGATAAGAAGGCCACATTTATAATTAAATATTTACATTTAATTTTACATTGTATTTTAAGTTTTTTTTTTATTTCTTTTATTTGTTTATGTTGTTTTTTGTTAATTCCTGTTTTTGTTGTTTCGTGTTCAGTGCCTTTAATTTAGCTGTTACTATTACTATTTGTAAAAACCTATTAGTGGTTAAGTTTGTAATCCTAAACTATATCTATTTACTCTAGTGTAGTCCTGGTTTTCCGGTAAATAAATAAATAATGGTTCAGTCAAGTTTCTCTGTAGTCTATGAAAGGTCATGGGTATGGTGGTGTGCTATATAAAAAGAATATTAAATAGGATTTCCTACATAATTATATATATGGCTACAGATAAATATTTATAGATATATGTAAGACGTCTGAGATAAACTTAAGGCACTCTCACTGATTTTTTCTAAATAAAATCTAATGAGATTAAAACTTAAAAAAGTATTGTTTTTGTCCTCAGGTAAAAGTATGGTTTCAAAATAGAAGAACGAAACATAAAAGAATGCAGCAAGAAGAAGAAGCCAAGACCGGTTCCAAATCGGGATCCTCTAGTTCTAAGCCTGACGATGGTAACCAATTTAATAACTCCTATGAAGAAGAAGACGAAGAATTAATAGATATGGACATGGATGAACTAAGTGAAAGTGAAAATGAAACATAATTATAGTGATACAGACTGGACAAAAGTGATGTAAATGTACATATAATTAAATTAGCAATATCATTTATTTATTTGGGATTACTTTTTTGCCACGTTTCTTATTTGGTTAAAAACTGTGTGACAGAAAGGCATAGCTTTCATTAAATTAATTTGTATAGTTATATGCGAAATTACATTAACAAAACATATTTGTTTCAAAATGCAACAAAATTCAAGCTGTAAATCAAATGACTCCAATTTAAAAAATATTATTATCGAGTGATCAATATCAATTTAAAAACGTAGCAACCATGTCATTAAATTAACGGACCACATTTCAAAATGGCGTCACGAGATCTTGTTAGCGCTTCACGAATTATTAGATAACGAAATTGGCCACATTATAATAGTTTTGGGGCTAAATTAATTACGAATGAATTTTTTAAGACGCCCCTCCAATGATGTGGGTATAATTAGACATTTAGATTTAAAAATTTGATAGGCGGGGCTGTTGCATTTAAACGAGCACTTCGGCTGTCAACTTTAGAAGAGCAACGATTTACATTATAACAATGCGTTAGAGTGAGTACGGTAACATTTATGGAGATAAGGGTCGATTGTACAATCGAATGGAATATGTTATAATTCAGTATAGGTTTAATCCTGTAGAGCTTTTGTTTTACTTCAAATTTTTGCATTTTGTTAATAAAAATCTTAGTTTTATTAATTGACTATTTGTCTGAAGAAATTTTTTAATCTAGAGTGCTTTGTACTTGCATTTATAACAAGGTACTATGTATAAATTCTTTTAAATAATATTTTGTGTTATAATAATAGTTCTATAATCGTTTTATTAAATTTATAGTAAGTTTTGAAACGTGTTATTATCTTATAGAGAAAAATTAAATCGAGTAATTATATTTTGTATGTGAGCATACCTCGCTTTAAGATACGTTCCAAAATGTAGTACCTATCATGGGCCCAGATCGCATTCAGTAATTGCCCGCGACGGCTCCAAATTGTTTTAAACTGTTGACGATCGTTCTCAACGGCTATTTGTCTATGGTTTCTGATTTTGTGATTAAAATCTATCTGAGGTCGGATTGGTGCTTTCACACTAAACGTCACGCTTCGCAGTGTTCTGTACAATTATAACGCTGTTATTACCTATTATTCAGATTTTCTAATATTTCCTTTGCATATTGTTGTAACACGGTCATGAAAAAATTAAACCATCGGATAATTATTTATTAATAATAATTTGAATATTTTAGCATAAACCTAATTTAATATAAATGCTTATACTAAAAGTTTATATTAATATTTTCCTTCATTTTTAATCATGTTTTTGATTTGAAATTGATTTGAAATAATAAAAATTGCTTAGTTTCCATTGTTAGGTCAATATGTAATTAAAATATTAATGAGCAAATATGGTTTTCAAATCGGAATTTAATAATTGAGTATCATTCTATGCATGAAATAAAAGTAAAAGGATTCCACGTAAAATAAAAAGCATCTAAAATCAGTAATGCCTCTCCATATTATGTTCCCGTACTTAATATTAAGCCGTTACAATACCGTTCGACACGCTCACATATTATTCGATTAATTGATTTATTTCATCATTTAGTGTAGCTACCGAATTGTGAATCTTAAATTTTATTTTAACATCGAATTAATATTTTTAAATATTTATTAAATACTTAAAGAATAAGTTGAAACGTACATTTCGTATATAGTAAATTCATATATAGTAAAATAAAAGCTTAGATTTGGTGTGGTAAAATGACATATCATGATCACGGCAATGACATTAGAACATCTTAGGTACTCGATGATTACAAGGACAAGAGGTAGTTTCCAATAAGTTGTTTTTGGTTCTATCAAGCATTGATGGCTATAAAATAATTACGATTGTCTTTATGATAGTCGTCAATGTGGCTTATAGCTGTACAGGCACGTATGGGAACGTTCCATAAGATAGCAAAGGAGATAGGAGTTAAAGTTAGGAGTGCTCAATAGAGTGAGACGGTATTTCATGCCGGAACACCGCCTGAAATTATATAAAGTTCAAGTCAAGCCGCATATGGAATATTGTTCTCACCTATGGGCAGGAGCGCCACAGTATCAGCTCTTTTCGTTAGATCGCATTCAAAGTCGGCCGCTCGAATTATTGAAGGTCAGCGGCTTTCTGTCCGACTCGACCCACTCAAACTGCGCAGAGATGTTGCATCTCTGTGCATCTTCTACCGGCCGGCAGCACACCTGCAATGCCGTTGATGTTGTGAATAATCATGGGCGGCGGTAGGCACTTACCATCAGGTGAGCCGCATGCTCGTTTGCCCCCTGTGTTGTAAAAAAATAAAGATAGGCCTATGTTCAGTACTAGTCAATTAACAGTTGAACTTAAGATGATGTATCGTATTTGATGAAACTAATAAACAATAGTATTGTTTCAGATGGAAATATAACTATTGACAATACTATAATTATTTAATTTATATTTGTATCATATGTTCAAACTTAATAAAGACAAAAATATAATACCAGTGACTAAAAAATTTAGTAAATAGCAAAGTACTCGAAATGTTGAACTCAAGCCGAACCCTTTAAAATGCGATTATAAGGCTAATTTGTATTTTGATTTTCCGTCTTTTGTTCGATTGATTTACGATTACGAGTATCGAATTCCAGTGGTATCGATTTACAGAGGGCATCGATTTAAAAACAACGTATTTAGTTATTGCCCGTTCGGTAACAACATGTTTGCGAAAAATACCTATCTATATGTTTTATAGTTATGCAGTTTTTTATATCACAGTAAGTGACACATTAAATTTTTAATATTTTTATTGAGAATTGTACAGTCTAAGACTACAGTGTTTTAAAATGGTACTAAAAGCGTGCCTAAATTTGTGCCAAAATGTTTATTTTTTCTTATTAAAGTCTTCTTAGAAAAATAGTGTAATTCATTATTTTATATTTTATTATAGCAATTAACTGAATATCTAATTATTCGTGCATGTTTTAAAGAGATATTTTATAAATAAAATATACACCGGTATACATAAACTATTTAAGAGAATTTTAATTGCATGTTACGATAACAAAAAGAGAAAATTGTTGCCTTTATCATGGCAGTATAAGTCTAGATTCCATTTTCAGCTCAATTAACTGCCAGTCGCTTTTAATTATCGATTTTCTTCATTAAGTGTTTGCGATTAGCGAGCATGTCGATACTTTACGATGTATTCTTCGATGAAGTTGGATTTTAATTACTGGACTTTTGATTACTTCTAATTCGTTGATAATGCGACAATATGAGTTATTGGAGTCATTGGATTTGTATTGATAACAAATTTAATTGTTATTTTATGCTGGTGCATTATGTGGTTTTCTCTTTGTATGCAACATATTATGAAAATCAAATTAAGATTGTGTTAATATTAAAAAAGTACTTTCAGCAAGCTACTTAATTATACTTTTTTTAACTATATGTATATAAAATCAAAGAAAAAAATATTTCTATACAATTTTTTTATTATATTCTACTTTATATTTTAGTTACATTAATTGTAATAGGTCACTGCATAGCACACGGCATAAAATTATAATAGATTTTTTTGCGGACTTAATTTATATTTTAAGCTGTATGTTTTTGTTTAAAAATTAATACCTATTTTATACAGTCTGAAAATTTGTAACAAAATGGTGTATGAATATAAATATATAATATCTACTTATCATCAATATTGTGTCCAGAACAATTGAGTAGTTTTTATATATTTAACTATTATGGAAAATTTTCAGGTTGTATAATCCCAGTGTTTGTACAAAAATGTACCCTAAGAATGACGTCGGATATAATTACTGTATATCAAATTTCATATAGTAATGTTAAAGATTCGCTCAATTTAACGTAGTTTTATTAAGTCAGTTCCTTTAGAATAAAAAAGTGAGTTAATCACATAACGATATATAATTATGCAGTATTATATACGATATAACGATCCATATTTTGTAATTTAGCTGCGATTATAATCAAGGTAATGAATTACATGGAATGTTAAGAAATATTTTATTTTTATTCCTTAAAAAAGATCCTTTCGTAAAACTCATCTGGTAATGTGCAGAATATTTTACAAGGTTTCCAAAGCAATAAGTGAAAAACACATTTTTTTTATATATTCAGAATTCTAATATTTGATTGATTAAACCAACAGTTATGAGTTTTCCTTTATGTAATATTTCTTAGGAAGTTATATTTATGATTAAAAACAAAACATTTTTATTTAATGTAATGTAAATAAAAACTATTTATTTCTCAACTCGTACTTAAACAAGTTAAGGAACTCCATCTTTTGATGTATTGTAAATTTAAAAAAAAATGTTCCTTCTTCGTGGGTTTTGTATGCCATTGATTAACAGGTTGTAAATATTTACTTTATAAATATAAAATATACTATAAAGTAACTAGTGTTTAAAAATAAAATTGTACATTTTAATATAGTGTTTAACTGTTTAGTGGCAGTGTAAATATGAGTGTGTTAGAGTACATAGTCTATGTATTAAGTATATTTGTGTGTATATTCGGCTATTACACTTCTCCCCATGACTGTACGCAGTGAGCTCTTGTTTCGTTAACATCGTACGAAAGTGTAGTTACTTAAAAGACGAGTGATATAAAATATATGTTTTTACTCATTTAATAATGGTTTTTTTATTCCTATCCCGTTAAGCGTTTAATGAAATTTGTTCTGTCGTTGGAATATTTTGTGAATATATTTTTTATTAACCGATTTTTTCTTAGGGGAAATAGAAACTACAGAAAAACTTTTAAACATGTTTTGCATGTTTGTTACTTAGTTATGTTTAAATATTGAACGGATTTGAACGAATTATAATATGTATCAAGTATTATAACTGTTTAAATATATTCAAGACAGCGATATTCTAGTCTAAGAATATCATGATTCATCAATACAATACCATTGTTAATGCAGTACGCAGATCTCTTCCCATATAAAGAGGCTATTTTCATAGCATCACCAAAATAATAATTTTATTTCATCACCAAGGTGGCTGCCAACTCGAAATAGGATCCTTTTCTGGCACTGCTGTTTTTTATTTTGTTGTCATCGCTTGACAATGAAATGGTTACCACTTATCATCAGGTGTACCGTCGACTTGTTTGCAATTCTAAGTTGCATAAAAAATGACTTCACCACACAGAAATGAAATAACAGCCAATAAATAAAATTGTTGTGTTTAATTTATTTCTCTCCGTGTATTTGTTCTATTTACATGTACTTCCGATCGCGTTGTGTTCACTTGAGCTGTGAGAATACGGTTTAAGCTTTTCCTCAATTTAAATAATATTTATTAGGTAAGTATTAGATGTAATATTTCCAATGGCCATTATTTTGACATTATTATATTATATTTTTTCTTATTGGAACGAAGAAATTATTATTTTCATTATTTCCTGTCACTACAAGTTTTTTCAACGTATTTCAAAAAGAAGGAGGATTTCAGTTCGTTTGTATACTTTTATCTCCTAACTCTGTTATTTATAAACTGATATAGAAAATTCTTTTGTTATTTAAAAGGATATACTTTCAGATTGGTCCTATAGAAATTGTATTAAAGACGGTTCAGTTGTTTAGTTTTTAAATAAAATTATTGTTAATTTTATTTAAAAACTAAACAATGGTTAATACTAATTAGGTTTGTCACGATTTAAGTCGGTTTTTTTATGAAACAAAATCATTAATTTCTAATTACATTGAATGTATTTTTAAAGTAATTATTATTAATAACACGGCTAAATGCTTTAGCTGATATGACAGTGTTCATTCAGATAGCAATCATGTAGTACGCGTCTCTCTGGAGATATCTGAAAACAAACGGAAAAGAATACACTCAAGAAATCAAACTGTTCGAAAAATTCAGGATTGAATATCCTGGTGACTTTTTTTGAGATTACCTACCTATTATTTATTTCAATTCAGTAGATATTGACAAATTGAATATTTAATTCTTTTCAATTATTCCTTAATCTTGTAGATACATATTCAATTAACGAACACAATGTCGTGACATAATAAATTACTAGGAACAAAAATCATCCCTTACTTTCTCTAGACTTGAAAGAGAGCAATGGTTACTACTATTTACAATTTAAATAATTTAAAAAAAATTTGTAAATTTAAATTTATAATTAGAGACAATTGGATCTTATTTTTTATGGATGACAATGGAATGGTAACCCCGTTTAGCGCTTGTGCTAATACGCTGACAGGGCACCAGTATGGAATGATAGGTGAGAGTGAATAGGTAGGTCTTTTTTTAATGGGTGAAAATGGAATGGTAACCCCGCCTGCGCTATCATACGCTGGCGGGGCACCAGTGAGAGGTGATAGATGAGGGTGAAAACAGGTCAGTTAGCCCATCGTGAAGAATTCCGTGAGAATGGATAGGTAGGTCAGTTAGCTCACTGTGATGAATATACCTGAAATTCAGCACGACGGTGGACGTGGAGGTAGATCTGACAAGGTGTATTGCTAGCAATGGGAATAGTAGTCAGCATTACTAACAATCCCCTCCCCCTTCCCGAGATAATTGGTTAATTTTTAACCATCATCGATTAACCACTTGGATTAAAATGTACCCATTCGACGAAATAAGAACAGGAATGTTAACAACAGCAGCAACTATTGACTATTGCTACTGATCACCCAGTATGCTATTACAATTGTGAGCTTAAATAAAATATTTCTTAATTAAATCATGGTCTGTTGAAAGATATATCACACATATAAGTAGGTATATGTACGATACATTTGAGTAAATTTTGAACAGTTATAGGTCCTCAAGCATTCTAAATATATTCAGAACTCAAAACAAATATATAAGAAAATCTCGCAATCAACTCACCTGTGACTACCGCCATCCATGATCACCCGCAACACCAGAGACAATGTAAATGTGCTGTAGGCCTTTTAGTTGTCGTTCATTTGCAAGCTTGCTATATATATATATTAGCGGTAGGCTGCAAAACGTTTGCTGGACCGGTTAATTGCATATTAAATTCATTAAACAATTATATTAAAAGAAATAGAATATTATATTAGAAATATATATTTTTGTCACCAAACTAAACTTTCATGACGATGACGGTTTCGTTCGCTTGGAAAGTTCTCAGTTACGGTCTTAACACAAAAATAATTTAAAATACTGTCTATTAAAAATATTGTTTAATTAGTGTAATAACATTCATTTGTATAAAATCTAGTATTAAAATCAATAAACTACTATATATATATATATATATATATATATATATATATATATATATATATATATATATATATATATATATATATATATATACGGAAACCAAAACAACATATTTTTTTAAATTTTAGTTGTCTCTCTGTATCTGTATGTTTGTTTCGACATTATATAAAATTACTGTGCTAAAATAGATGAGGTTTACACAGTTGTATTTCTGAAGGTCTAACTTAAAAACTGGTGTATGTTTTATCCTGATACGCCACCAAGAAGTGGTTTATTTCATTGGGTTTTTATTTCTGAAATTCACGTGTATGAAGTAGTGGTCAAAAAGATACTTATTAATAAAATTAGGCCGAAAATCTTGTATATAGTATATATAAAAAAAAGGTTTACCAGAGGGAGACTTTGTACAAAAGTCGTTTGCTTGGGCACCTTTGTCCCATTTGTGTTTCAACCGTGAAGCAGTTGTGTTTGCACGGCTGTGTTTCCGTTTGAAGGGTGGGTTATGGCGTGAATTTACGGGGTACAGAGGAATAATACCCGAGTCCTCAGGAATGGCAACGCATGGGGGGTATCATGGGAGAAACTCTGTTATGTCCATGGTACTGCTCATGTCTATAGGCGACGGTTACCATTTTCCATCAGGTGGGCCGTCAGCTTGTTTGTCATTCTAAGTTGTATAAAAAAATATAGTACTTTCGCAGTAACTGTTAAAATGTCAGCTCGCACCATGCTACAACGTAGAGTTTAATTGAACAACGCAAGGCCTTGTAGTTTTTTTCTACCACGTTCTAGACCACACATATCATCAATGACGTCATATGTCGCGATGACAACACTTGGGCACCACTAGTGAATGTCAAATAGTGACGTGCAGCGATTACAAATCGAGCACAGATTATATCGCATGGAAGATTTGAACATTGATTTTGGTAACTGCTGTTTTATTGTCTATTTATTAGATTGTAGCTTTTTTTCTGTATTATTTTAAGTGTCTACGATTGTGCCACCGATAAGAATGTGAGCTGTTAGTTAATTTGTGGAAACGTATCAAACGTCGACCTCAATGAAATTAAACAGTAATTTTTACACAGAATGAACGTGCACAGATTTCATTATTTGTAGTGATATAGTATACTGTGATTTGATTCGTTCTTTTTTTAAGATTGTAGTAAATCCAATCACATTTTATGTGTAAATGTACAATAATATAAAATAGCGTAAAGTTTAGGTATATCAATGAGTATGCTTATTTTTATAAGCTAATCAAAATGGAAAATTAAGAGTTAACAAATTAAATAGGTAAGAATTAAAGTTGACTTGTCAAAATTAAATGCTATGTAGTATGGTAATCATAAACAGAATAGAATGAAAATGTAAACAACTATATAAGGGATTGGATTAGAAGACAATGCTATTGAACAAAAAAAACATTCGATTAATCGTTGAATGTTTCCAATCGTTACTAATTTTATTTAGATAGTGTTTCTGTGACAATTTCAACAAAACTTTCGACTTCAAAAACCTCTTTTTAGATTTTATTGAAACAGACTATGGTTGCGATTTTTCTTTAAACTTGTTACTTATAAGATAAAATCTACGTGTCACGACACTTTTGTGCTCAATTGTACGTGACATATTGCTGTCAGCGCCAATAACTCTCGGCTGCGTTCGACGTTTATCGCCCATAAACGAGGTACAGGTGTGTACATAAGCATTATTGATGACACTATGGCTATCGATTATTATTATTATTGTGTCATTTGTCTCTCATCACTATTCTGAAATGAGTTGAGACTTTTTATGGCTTTGAACAGGAATCGTTTTTGTTTCAGACCTTATTTTATAATCTTCTGTATTTATAAATTATTAGCAGTATCTCACAGTTTTATCGTGTGAATCATTATATAAAGTAAATGTGTTATTTTGGAATACCTACTAAGAACCAAATTTTATTCAAATTTGTTCAGCCGTTCAAGCGGAATTGAGTAATGAACATACAAACGTTGTAAAGATTATAAAAAAATGATATTTTTATAATGTTAGTAGGATTATAAAAGAGTTGAAGTTGTTTATTTGTATATCACATCTACGAGTTATATTTTATGGGTTCCATTAATTTTATCATGTTTTTGTTTGATTCATAATTTACAGATTACATACGAGTAGTAGTTTTAGTAAAGACACCGTCTGTAAAACTATTTTTGACAATCGTCTATACTTTATTTACAATAATTAATTAATGTTTCGTATCAGAGTTGAAATTTAGCAGTAATACCAGAGGGAGACTTTGTACAAATGTCGTTTGCATGGGCACCTGTCTCATTCGTGTTTCTAACGTGAAGCAGTTGTGTTTGTATGGTTGCGTTTCGGTTTGAAGGGTGGTATATGGCAGTGAATTTACAGGGTACAGAGG